GACGCGAATGTATTTTTTAATTCAAATCTAAATATTTTAAGTCAGCTCATTTAGACTAAACAAATAATAGAAACGTTAGAAAAACGGAAAGCTACTAATGGGAAAACAATATTATCATTGAAGATTATAAAAATAAAATTCTGTAAAAATTGCATCAGGCAATGACAATAATATTTGTTTAATTGAAAGTAAATTTATTAACCGAAAAAAGCTCTATAGTACAAATCAAAGAAAATCAAATAAACTTTGATATATCGATTTCATAATAAACTTTTCTTTAAAGAAGTTTTCTCTACTGTTTTCAATGTAACAATAGGCTCCATGAAGACTTTAAATAAAATTTGTGAAATGACTTAATTTTGTTTACGATTTCCATTGAAAGTATGAACAAAATTCAGCTTTTTGTAAAAAACCAACAGGTACAAAAATGTATAACTGAGAAGAATATTATAAAGGTTGACCACCTGATTAATTTGCCCAAATTCAGCGCATTTTCCTCAGACATATTATATAATAATGCGTTGTTCTGCCGAAAAGTTGTATTGAATATAACATTCTTGATAAATCTAAATTATTAGATTTTTGTACAAAAATTTTAGAGTTAGTAAAATTCTCAAATATTTGAGGAACTTCAAAATCAACTTGCACCACTATATGTCTTAATTCAAAGCATACAAACTAACATGATTCACTTCTTAACCTGACCGTATAACAAAAATTAAAAAATTAAAAATTCGGAATTTGTGAAACAAAAGCAGCATTATTGGAAAACAATAAATAAAAATTGAGAAAATGAAGAAATCATAGAGATGTCTTCAATAATTGAACATGAATCCTTGATAAGTAAGAAGTAGATTATGAAGACAAAGTATTCTTCGAACATAAAATCTTCCATAATACAAACTTAGGGTTAGTCTTCTGAAAATCTTAAAGATTTCCGTAATCATCGTTTCAAAACAGTGGCCTCACAAAGGAATTATTAAGTCAGTCACTCATTTATAATTCAATTCATTTCATGATCAGTTGCTTTGAGTAATTAAGCATTTAACAAGACTAGAAATAATAAATGTCGGGTGCCACAGATCTTAAACAACGACAATTTAAAATCATGCGAACACGATTAAAATCTTAATTAAATATAGTGTTTCATCATTGCGAATGCAGAGTTTTAATTGCCCGAGAATGATATAACTGTAAATTAGATATATATATATATATATATATATATATATAAAAGAAATAAAGATTATTTTATAAATCTTTGGCTTTTCTTTGTTTGATGTATCGCCCTCAAGAACTCACTCATATATATATATATATATATATATATATATATATATATATATACTATTTGACTTTCTAGTTTTCATTAAGATTTAAATTTTCATGTAGATTTGATCCTTATATCACCATGCTAAAAACTAAAAAAACATACAACATTTTATACAAATTACATACATACATTTAATTTTTTTATACATGCTGCCTACAAAAATCAAGGAAGCATAACAAAATTATATTGTAAAGATTTACAGTTTCACGTAATGGACTAATCGCTAAATAAGCTTATTTAAAAACTTTAACTGGCTTTTTATATTATGGTGCAATAAGAGATGGTAATCAATCAGATTTTTTTTAGCAATTAATTAATAAGCCATAATTAAATAAACATAAAGCAAAGTTGGTAATTAAACGATTTTCAAAATATGGCTAGTAAATGTATATAGATAAAGATATACAACCGTGATATTATATTTTTTTCATAGAAGAATCAAACGTATTTCTTTAAAATTTAGTAGATACAATGTATTGGAACTTATATTTGCTGATATTACGATTTCTAAGAAAAGTATATATAAGAGTTATTATTATAATTGAATAACAACAGTCTTGACTTGAACAATCTAGCAGAACTAGTAATTATTGCCTGCATAATTTTATTGCATACTGCTAATTATAATTTCAACACATTATAATTTATTTAAAGAGAATATAACCAGAATGAATTTTGCGGAGATTTATATAAATAAAAAGGGTATTATATACATATTTACATATACACAAATGTATATATACAGTAGAACCCCGTTAAGACGATAATATTAATACTATTTTCACTTTAATACCAGCGCCACTTTACACTTTAAAAAATATCCTGCACAATACGCTTTCTCCTTTAAGAATCGTATTCTTGCGTCTTTTTGAAAATCGTCTTAACGGGGATTTACTGAATATATATATATATATATATATATATATATATATATGTATATATATATATATTCTTTGGAATACAAGGCAGAAAGAAAGGGTAAAGAATATTAGCGAAATAAATCATACAATTATAGGAGAAAAATACAGATTTATAGCAAATCTTGAATATCCAATCAAAAATAAATATTAAATTGAATTATGTAGAAATCTTTTCCAAATAAATATAGTGTGACTGAATTCTTCGATGTAGAGAGCAATACCGAGTTAGAAAAGTTAGAAAATCCTGAACTAGGTAAAAAACGTTCAGCTCAAGGATTATCCTATAATCAGAGCTTAACAAATCAAATAACAAAAAAATAATATTTTATCTTTTACATTTTTTCTCTTGTAGGCAAAAATGGTATAAATACAAAAAAAATCTGAAATAGTTTTTAACAACAAAGATAAAATAGAGACGAATTTAACAAATTGAATTGGATATAGACCCTGTAATAGAAAGGGCAATATCAAAGTTTTCATAATATCCTAGTAAAAGAAAGTCTAATGAATTATCCTTTGATCAACGTCTATAATAGAGAAATGATATTGTATCTCTACATTTTTTTACTTAAGGCAAAAATGGTAAGAGTACAATTTTTTTAAAAAAAATTCTGCAAAAGTAAAAATAAAATATTAACGTAGAAAATTAAAAATTGATTTGGGTATAAACATAACAATCATAGTAAAAAAAATATTTAACAGATTATACCACAGATAAGGATTATCCTTTGATTTTGATCATATACTACCTTTACATTTTGCTACTTGAGACAAAAATAGTAAGAAAAATCTGAAATAATTTTGCAAAAGTAAAAATAAAATATTAACGTAAAAAATTATAAATTGATTTGGGTAAAAATATTACGATGTGAAGAACAATGAACAAGTGTTTGGAAAATTATTTAACAGATAGCAGACCAGGATTATTCTTTGATCAAAGCTTAACAAATTAAATAACTGAAAAATGCAGCTGTTACATTTTTATGCTGATGACAAAAATAGTAAGATTATGAAAAAAATAAAAAATATTTTTGCAACAACAAAAATAAAATGCAGATGAAAATCTTAACAAATTGAATTGGAAATGAACTCTATCATGTGAAGAGCAATGAAAAGTGTTTACAAAAAATTAATAAGAAAAATTATCTTACAGATTATCCAACAGATAGAGATTATCCTTTGATCTTAACCATATTCAAGTAATAACAAAAACTATATTTTACCTTTTACATTTTTTTAAAGACGAAAATAACAAGAATACGAAAAATTCTGAAATAATTTTGCAAAAACAAAAATAAAATATTGACGTAGAAAATTAGAAATTGATTTTGTGGACGATGAAGAGAACAATGAAAAGTGTTTACAATATCCTACTAAAAAATATCACATAAATAAAAATTATCCTTTGATCAAATAACGCTCTTAGATGCTATGTTATTCAGCAGCTTTAACAGATATTGAAACTAGCTGTAAGTGGAATTCTGTCTTAAGGCAATTCAGGCATCGTGCCTTGAGGCAAATTGCTGGAACTTCCCGTACCAAAAATTATTATTTTTTTAAAAACGATTAACATTTTTGAAAAAAATTCACTTTTAAAAAATAAGATTTTTGAGAAACTATAAATTGGACAAAAAATTACTTTTTTTTTAAAAAAAAAATTTTTTAAAAAAAAAAAAATTTTTTTATTATTATTTTTTTTTTTTTTAATTATTTTTTTATTTTGACATATTGTGAAATATCTGAACTTTTTTTTCAAAGCAATTGTACTGCTTTAACTGCATAGGGACAAAATATAAAGCGCATAAGCGCCGCGTCGCTCTCTAACGCATAAGCATTGGTACGGAACCCATAGGAATGTTAAAAAAATGTATACTTATTGTTAAAATCTCTATAAAATATCTGATAATTTGATGTGCATATGTCTAATGATTATTTTTGACCGCCAAATGGCTCATTTTTTTACTTTTTTCTTTATATCTCCGAAACCGCTAGACCTGCCTTTATAAAAATTTCATCGATTATTCATCTTGTCAAGACAAGTAAAATGTTTTTTGAATTATTCAAATCGGACGCTCCGTTCTCTTAAAAACTGAGTTACCGTTTTCGGCACTTTTTGCCCCGTATCTTCGGAACGGCTAAACCTGCCTTCGCCAAAAACTAATCAGCACGTCTCCTTATCAATACAAATCGAATGTTTTTTGAATTATTCAAATCGGTTGATCCGTGTTCCCGAAATCGTCGACAAAAATTTGTATCCGCACATACATACACACACGTACATACATACATACATACATACATACATACATACATACATACATACACACACACACACACACACATACATCCATTTTTTCTAAGGTATGCCAAAATGTTCAGAAACCTCTGAAACGTAAAGATATATAAAAATTTTCATTTTCGATTTTTTTGCGATTACTATAACTTGCCCTACGGGAAGTTAATTAAGAAAAAATCCTTTGATGAGATTTGGATAATAAAAATGTAAGAAAATAAAAAAATCTGAAGCATTTTTGCAACAACAAAAACAAAATTTATACACACAAAATTGTAAATAATATTGTGTCTAAACAACAAAATAATGCATGCAACAACTGATATTTTTAAATTAATGATTGCGATGCAAATGTGTTGTAAGATTATGTTTGATTATCAAGAACACGCAACCTGGAATTAAAGCATGTAATGAAAGTAAAGATATCATAAACAAACAACTAAAAGTTCCTTACCTGCGGCATTCTATTGAGTCAATATTGGTATTACTTCATCGAAACCAAATTACCAACGAGTCGGTTTTGCTTTCAGGAAGAAAGCACATATTGAGATTTTAAAGAAAGTTTGAATTGTTTTCACTTTTCAAAACACTTAACTCGCGAACTTTTCAAGAGCATAAAAAAATTTAAGCACTCCCGCCGAGCATATCAGATAACTTTCATATAATAGTAATAAAAACTTTATAAACAAACGATCTTATAAACACAAACTTAACACAATAATAAATTAATAGTACGAAATAAAATCAACTAACTTTTTCTTTAGAGTAAGGTATACTGACGTAGTATTTTTTTAAATTATTTTTTAGTAATTTTTACTACTTTTATATACATTATTTAATTTATTTATATAAAAAATACAGGAGCTATTAACACACAGCCGTCAGGACGCGGCCATATGCACTTTTGACTGTCACGTGACAACTGAGTGTCAAGTGAAGTCGTTTTGAATGCTTTGTAGAAAAGCGCCACAAGCGGAAAAAGCTGCAACTATGAAAAAAAAAATATATATATATGAATATAGATGAATAAGTATATGAATATGATTTTCAAAAATATTAAGTGAAAAACATATTGCAATATATTAATATATTTCATTTACATTTATATTTTTCTTAATAACGACTGAACCATTATTATGAGTATAACGGCGTTAGTGTTTTAATGAATAAGGAAGTAATCGGCGTGAAGTTGTACATTTATAACTAATGTAATCTAATTATTTATATATTTTACTGCTGGATTAATTGGCGGCATTATTTGATTTATAGTACTACAAATAAAAGTATATAACTCTAATAACATTGCTAAACCGTAGAGCCACCTATTATAATATTGTAGATTCCATTACTCCATTACTCCCATGATAGTCCAGTCATTTGGTCATTTTGCCGGTACAGTACTCCGGGAATTCTGAAAATTGGTAATCTTATAGATTTCGAGGTGCTCTTTACGAAAATCAACTTTGCCACCTCAAATTTGAACGGCAAGTTGCCGCCATATTGAAAAAATGGCGTCAAAAAAATAGCTTTTTTAAAAATATCTCCTTTCTGGCTCATTCTACAAAAAAAGTATCTATGTACAAATTAAACTAGACAAAAATTCCTACAATTCTTTAAAAAACCGTTTTTTTGTAAAATTGATAGTTTGAGAGTATGGCCGCCTCAAAGTCTTTGCTGCTCTCGCCGTACTATCAAATCTGTCCATACATGACAGCACTTTGAACTTGACCACATTCCTTCTAATAAATAAATATTTTCAATGTTAAATTAAGCGAATAAGATCTAGAAATAAATTAATTCAAATATTTTTCTGTTTTTTGGTGATTTTTTAACGCTAATGAATATGGAAGTAATTAACTGACCGGCGTGAAGTTGTACATATATAACTAATGTAATCTAATTATTTATATATTTTTATTTGTTTAATTAATTGGCGGCATAATTTGATTTTTAGTACTACAAATAAAAGTATGTAAGTCTAATAACATTGCTAAATCGTAGAGCCACCTATTATAATATTGTTGACTCCATTACTCCACTACTCCCATTATATCGACTTCTTCATACCTGTTCATACTTCTCAATTATGCTAGAAAATTATGTTTTTCAATTCAAAGAATCCATCCTTGTCCATGTGAATTCTTCTTGATAAGTAACGTATATAATCCAATATAATAGATTCAATAATCCAAAACTAGCAGGAAATAAAACTCTTGCCATCCGATCTATCATGGACACACTATTTACTTGGCGAATGGTTCCGTTAGCTAAAATATAAAATGAGAATGCCGACTAAAGGTTTGAAGATTTAATATGACATATGATTAGTTAAATTATTTATTTACAAATTTGATGTAAAGTATATATTATGATAAAAAATGCTGTGTCATTTCTAGATTATAGTTAATTCATGTAGTTAGTTTTTGTGTTTCTTTACATTATATTTTTGTACTTGCAATAGTGATAATCAAAGTAAAACAAAAGGATTTCACTGTAGCTTCTTATAGTTAGTATACTTATATTAATTTTAATTTAAAATCCATTGCTTCTCATAACACTAATTGGCACTAACACACTGTATGTTTCAACACAGCTTAGGTAAAATATTATTTATCGTGTAAAATGCAAAATTTTGCTTGCGTTATTAAAATATTGCTTGGACCACAGGAAATATGGTATTATATTATGTGTATATGAGTTATTGTATTATATTCAATCTAAATATACAAAACTCAAGCCAACCAGCTGAGTAAAAATTTTCATTTCATTAAAAGTTTAGTAATTAGTTTGTTCATTATATCAATAATTTACCTCCTCTTTCCTTCTTGCAACTCGAAGCCTCCCTCTGTCTCTGTCGCCTGAACTCATCATTTCCAAGAAGGCAATATATTAATTGTTTCCAGCGAGGAATTGCTTTCTCAGTTTGAGTCGTTCGCTCTACTGTAATTTGTGTACTTGTAGCACTTATCGAGAGAGGACTGCAACTTCTTTTATGCCTGCACGATGGAGGTGTTTTTCTGTGAATTGTTCCATAAGTGATTGCTGGATCCTGCAGGAATTGGATTATTTAATATACAGAAACATTAATAATAATTTATGTATATCTTCATATGTTTCAGATCTTTCACATATTTAAATATGGCAATTGGAATATAATAATTTAACAGTGTAAGATTATACTACATTGTGGAAATTTATTTCAGCACAGTAATTGCAAGACTATATTTGAAATCATATAGTGATGACAATTATTTAGGAAATAATTTTCAACTATCTAATCTTGTTAGTAATGTATTAGCTAAGAAATAGATACTTCAAGATCTCTATCACAATTCTGTCTACTAAAATAAATTTGTAAATTTACTTACATTATAAATTGGACAAATAATTGAGCATTTGCGCCTAACTGATATTTGCTTTTCTTCGGGAACTCCAAGTGCACTAACATCCTTCGAAGAAGTCACAGTTTCCCATTCATCATCTTCGCTTTGCATGATTTCACCACTACCGACCTTTGAGAAGTATTTTTAATTATTAATACATACATACTAAATTATAAAAATATAATTACAAATAAGAGTAAATAAATAAATAAAAAAATTTATCATTCACCATAAATATCATATTTTTTGTAGAGTTCCAGAAATATCTATAATATTTTCGAAAGATTGAATTAAATTGCCAAAAGTTAAATATATATATATATATATATATATATATATAATTTCAAAAAAAAATCTATTTTACAAAACTATGTACTTATAAAAAAAGTATTTGCAGTTTAAATTGCTTTTAAGAACAGAATAAAGAGAAATAGATAATGTAGATAATATTACAAAAAATTATACTTTGCAAAGACAATGTTGTCTAAAAATGGACTTCATCTTTTATATATGGAATTTAGAATTCATACGTTTCGGCCATAATCATAGACTTGAAAAATTAGCTTATCCTAATATTAAAAAATAGAAATATTAATAATCTATGGTGATATTACACAAATTTAATGTTATACAGAGTAGTATTATTTATATCATATCCTCTTATACCAAGGATTATCCTTATTTTTATTTTTAATAATAGACCAAATATATGAGTTTTAAATAAAAATTTAAATGACTCTACTTGATAATATAGGGTCCGCCAACTAGCTTTTTTTGAAAAATTCCCTAAAAAATCTACTGAATATTTTGCCAATTTTCTTTTTGTTTGAAAATTCTATTAAAAAACCACCAAATATTTTCACTTTTTTTATTTGAAAGTGAAATGTAAAGAGTGCAGAGTACACAGTAGGGTTGCTTAAGTCGTACCCCCTAAAAAAAAAGTTATTTGGCGGATGCTATATCTTATGCTAATATCAAATACAAAATTATACAATAAATAACGTATTAACCATTTAAGGCCCTCTCCATAAATTCGTATCGTATTTATATCGTATTTACCAAATATTATATATACATTGTAGGACTTATCAGTACAACAAGTAAATTTGTTGAAGACACTGCGGCTATTATATCTTTGCGAGTATCGGCTATCCAATACGAATTGTTGTTTTATGATGATAACACACTACTTGGAGACAGATAATATTTCTACGCCACAACTTGAAATTACAGGTGTTATAGTTTTACTTGAAATGCCGTGATTAGTTTTTGAAAATTGTGATTAAACTTGTATTTATTTCATGTTTAGTTACGGCAAGTGGGCGACACTTATGATGGCTGAAAACGATCCTCTTTTAAATGCAATTTCTGGTGACCCTTATAGGACTATTGAAAGAAATGGAAATAATGTGAGTTATTGGTATATTTATCATTTTATTTCGATTTACTTTTTGTTTTCATATTATTTCCGGGTTTGATGAGAAATCTAGATTGACTAGTGATAAGGTGAATATCCAACATAATTTCCAATTTGCATATTTTACTTTGAAACTACAATGAAACATAAAATGAATTTAATTTAAATCACGCTGAGACCAATTAACAATTTAAAAAATAAATAATTTCTAATTTAAAATAAATATCTATGAAATATTGCATATATAAGTATGTTCTTATTATAGGCCGAAGGCGAAACGGAAACTTATATAAGCTACGTTGGAAAACTATCACTTAATATAATATTACACACGTTAATATTAGGTTTCACAGTTTTTATTATAAGTTTAGGATTCGCTGATCCTCTCAGATTATTTACGTTTCATCCTATCTGCATGACGACAGGGGTAAGTTTCTGGTTAAATAGTTAAATACATTGTGCATAATACAAAAATGAGTTTTGTTTTCAGTTTTTCTTCTTCACAACGAATGCAATTTTTACGCAGTCCAAGTATAATATCGTTAGTTTCCGATTTCATCATCAAAATCGTATAACTTTACATTGGGTGCTTCAAGGAGCTTCTGTAATACTGATGACTATTGGATTTATTCTTGTAATACTGACTGTTAATCAGCAAGGAGCGCCGCATTTTTTTACGAACCACAGTAAGAAAAAAATTAAATATATACTGGTCAAATATTTTTGCCCGGTCTTATAATAGTTATAATTTAAAATAATATGTC